TTTTGGAGATTTTTATTGATAAATCCCATTTAGAAGTGTTTTAACCTAAAAAGTCCATGAAGAAATTTATTAACCCATTTAGTCCCATGTATGTATAGTTTTATTCCATAAAGTCCTTTTTCTTGATTCACATTCTTTTTTTAGACTCTTATGCCCTTATATTTAATTTTGATATCCTTACAAATATTTTGAACGAATAGCAATTTTATGATGTAAATATTCATATTTTAACATTCACACTGGTAAGAATGTAAAATTAGCCTGGGGTCCGTGGGCGGTCCGAAGATCGCCCCCGGGCCGGGGCAGGCCCAGTCCGTTGACAATGTGAATATTCACATTGACACGTTAACATTCACATTGATAGAAGTGTAAAATTGGCCCACGGCCTATGGGCGGCCCAAAACGCGCCCGTGGCTCGTGGGCTGCCTGGGGCGGGCATGGCCCGACCCGACTCGTTGACAATGTGAATATTCACATTAACATATTAACATTCACGTTGATAGGAGTGTAAAATTGACCTGCGGCCCGTAGGTGGCCTGAAACCCGCTCGCGGGCCCGGTCTAGGCTGTTTACAATGTGAATATTCACATTGACATGTTAACATTCACATTGATAGAAATGTAAAATTGTCCCGCGGCCCGTGGGCGGCCTAAAGCCCGCTCGTTGCCCGGGGCGAGGCGGGTTATAAATATTTATATTTTAACATTCACATTGGTAAGAATGTAAAATTGGCTGTCTCCCGTAGGCGGTCCGAAGCTCGCCACCGAGCCGAGGCGGGCTCGGTCCGTTGACAATGTGAATATTCACATTGACATGTTAACATTCACATTGATAGAAGTGTAAAATTGGCCTGCGGCCTATGGGCGGCCCAAAACGCGCCCGTGGCTCGTGGGCTGCCTGGAGCGGGCACGGCCCGACCCGGCTCGTTGACAATGTGAATATTCACATTAACATATTAACATTCACGTTGATAGGAGTGTAAAATTGACCTGCGGCCCGTAGGCGGCCTGAAACCTGCCCGCGGGCCCGGTCTAACTTGTTTACAATGTGAATATTTACATTGACATGTTAACATTCACATTGATAGAAATGTAAAATTGTCCCACGGCTCGTGGGCGGCCCAAAGCCCACTCGTTGCCCGAGGCGAGGCGGGTTATAAATATTTATATTTTAACATTCACATCGGTAAGAATGTAAAATTGGCTGTCTCCCGTAGGCGGTCCGAAGCTCGCCACCGAGCCGAGGCGGGATAAGTCCGTTGACAATGTGAATATTCACATTGACATGTTAACATTCACATTGATAGAAGTGTAAAATTGGATTGCGGCCCGTGGGCGGCCCGAAACTCGACCGCAGCCCGTGGACTGCCCGGGGCGGGCCCGACCCGGCCCATTGACAATGTGAATATTCACATTAACATATTAACATTCAAGTTAATAGGAGTGTAAAATTGACCCGCGGCCCGTAGGTGGCCCGAAACCTGCCCGCGGGCTCGGCTCGACCCGTTTACAATGTGAATACTTACATTAACATGTTAATATTCACATTGATAGGAGTGTAAAATTGGCCCGCGGCCCATGGGCGGCACGAAACATGCCCGCGGGGCCGGCCGGGCCCGTTTACAATGTGAATATTTATATTGACATGTTAACATTCACATTGATATGAGAGTAAAATTGGCCCGCGGCCCATGGGCGGCCCGAAGCCCGCTTGTTGCCCGAGGCGGGGCGGGCTGTAAATATTCATATTTTAACATTCACATTGGTAAGAATGTAAAATTGGCCCGTGGCCCGTAGGCGGTCCGAAGATTGCCCCCGGGCCGGGGCGGGCCCGGTCCGTTGACAATGTAAATTGACAGTGTGAACATTCACATTGATGATGTGAACATTCACATTAGGGGTATTTTGGTAATTATGTCACCCATAGGACTTATTGAAACATAAGAAAATAATGTGGACTAAATGGAACATAAGTAGATGAAAAGAGTATTTTGGTCTTCTTACCTCAAATAGGAACATTCACATTGACAGTGTGAACATTTATATTGACGATGTGAACATTCACATTAGGGGTATTTTGGTAATTATGTCACCCATAGGACTTATTGAAACATAAGAAAATAATGTGGACTAAATGGAACATAAGTAGATGAAAAGAGTATTTTGGTCTTCTTACCTCAAATAGGAACATTCACATTGACAGTGTGAACATTTATATTGACGATGTGAACATTCACATTAGGGGTATTTTGGTAATTATGTCACCCATAGGACTTATTGAAACATAAGAAAATAATGTGGACTAAATGGAACATAAGTAGATGAAAAGAGTATTTTGGTCTTCTTACCTCAAATAGGAACATTCACATTGACAGTGTGAACATTTATATTGACGATGTGAACATTCACATTAGGGGTATTTTGGTAATTATGTCACCCATAGGACTTATTGAAACATAAGAAAATAATGTGGACTAAATGGAACATAAGTAGATGAAAAGAGTATTTTGGTCTTCTTACCTCAAATAGGAACATTCACATTGACAGTGTGAACATTTATATTGACGATGTGAACATTCACATTAGGGGTATTTTGGTAATTATGTCACCCATAGGACTTATTGAAACATAAGAAAATAATGTGGACTAAATGGAACATAAGTAGATGAAAAGAGTATTTTGGTCTTCTTACCTCAAATAGGAACATTCACATTGACAGTGTGAACATTTATATTGACGATGTGAACATTCACATTAGGGGTATTTTGGTAATTATGTCACCCATAGGACTTGTTGAAACATAAGAAAATAATGTGGACTAAATGGAACATAAGTAGATGAAAAGAGTATTTTGGTCTTCTTACCTCAAATAGGACCTAATGGAATATTCAAAAAGAATATGGGTTAGATGGAATAAAGCTCTTAGAAAAAAAGATTTATCATAAAAGCTCCCTATTTTTTTCTTTAACTTTTTAATCTAAAAAGTTAAAAAATACACTTATTTAAGACATCCCAAATAATCCTTTAATCTGCTCTCAAAACAAGTCAATATTAAAATAACTTGTAACAGGGGTTTGACGAGAAAGAACCTTCAGATTTCTTAACTGCGTATCAAGGCCTCCTCTATAATTAGGGTAAATTATCAATAGATCATAATAGTTGGACTTAATTTTCATCAAGTCCTATGGAAAATAAGTCTTGATAAAATTGTCGCTAAAAATAATTTTTTATGACAATTTTTTATATATGTCGTTAAAAATTGGCAATTAGTGACTTTTTTGTCATGATTTTTATAAATTGTGTTTAAAACTTACAATTAGTGACTTTTTTTATGAATTTTTTTTTCCCATACGACCTATTAGATAATAAGTCCACTTATTAGGACCTATACGCAAGTACTCCTTAACTTTTCCACAACCAAAATAAAGTTGACATAACACTTGGGCCATATTAATTGACTCCTTTTTTTGTCACAAGCATTTGCTTCGATGAGAAAGAAGAGAAATAAAAATATTCCTTCTGTCTTAAAATAATAGTTTCAAAAAATCTAACTCAAATAAAAATTTTTAGCTCAAATTAAAATAGTCAAAAAATTAAAAATTAAAAAAACTAACCTATCTTCCAAACAAAACTTTAAAGAATCATTTTTATGGCATAGCACTATAGGTTGTTTTGAGAAATAAGTTAAAAAAAAAAAAAATCTATCTTTGATTTTTTTTAAAAAAATATATGAAAAATTAAAAAGATGATATGATCTAAAAAAATTAAAAATTAAAAAATTAACTTTAATCTGCTCCCAAAACAAGTCAATATTAAAATACTTGTAAGAGGGATTTAACGAGAAAGGACCTTTAGATTTCTCTCTAATTAACTTTTCTACAATCAAAGTAAAGTTGTCATATCACCTGGCGACAATGCTACGTAACTCAAATTTTGTAGCTTAAAAGTGGCTCAAATGGCCAAAACGACGTCGTTTTGGCCATTTGAGCCACTTTTGAGCCACAAAATTTGAGCTACGAGACATTTTCCATCACCTGGGCCATATTTGGCTGATGGAAAAAGCTTGTAGCTCGAATCTTTTGACTCGAAAATAGCCCGAAAAGCACTAGTTTCTCTCTTCTCCCTATCTCTTTAATCTATTGTCGTTTCCTCTTCTCTCTTTCATCTGCTATCTCTTAAGCGAAAAACACTCATCTCTCTCATCTGCTATTGATTGACTATTTGGGGTTCACTTTCTGTAGAAATTAGACGATTGTGACTGTTTGGGGTTGGATTTTGCTTTCATTTCTGTAATGATTTGGGATTTACCTTTAATTTGTGATGTATAATCACTCAAAAAATAAAAAAATAAAAATAATAAAATAAATTAGAGGAAGGGAATATATTTTGATGATGGTTTTTGTGGTGAAAAATAGGATGATGTTTTTGTGTGTGTGTGTGTGTGTGTGTGTGTGTGGTGGAATACAATTATATAGGAACATGCATGGTCAGCAAGGTAGTGGAGGTTATTTCTTTGCAAAAGAGAGAAGTGAGTGCTGGAGTGGGGTTCAAAAGGTGTAAAGAATATTTTCCAGAGAGAGAGAGATGGGTCTGATTGTTCTCAAAATGTGTATGATTGTGTTGTGTGTGGGTGTTGGGGGAGAACAGCTACGCAGTTCTTGTCAAGGGGAATCCAATTCATATTCAATTCATGGATCATCAGTCACCTGACTGCAAAAAGATTAAACGCTTTGGTCATGTTTGATTCACAAGATTAATAGTGAAGTATTAATAATCCTATTAAATTAGTGTGATATTCATTATCCAATTGGATTAATATCTATTGGATTAATAATCTCACCCCTATTCCATTACTAATAATCCTACAAATTTGTTGGATTAATTATCCATTGGATTAATAATCCTAAACCAAAATGTTAAAACAAATATAGAATAATTAGGCCCACGGATTAATAATCCCAATTCCAATCCCATGCTCTAATCCACCCAATCAAACATGCCCTTTATGCCGTGCAATTCCATCTATTTGTCACCTGTTTCTTGTTCCTTAGTCGAGAGGGTTTTCGGCGAGCATGCATGAGAGCAAAGAAACAACCCTCAATCTGTCTTCCCACTCACCCGTGTCTTAACTTGTCTCCCATTCTAGTTGCCATCAACCTCGGTCATCCTTGTCGCCGGTACTTTGTGAAACTCATTACCTTAGTTAGTTGCGCTTGGCTCAATTACATATTGTTCACCAGCGATGTTGTTGCCACTCGAAGGTCGGCGAGATCTACTTGCTGCGCAATAGCAGCTTCCACCAGATTTATTTATATTTGTGGACTCAAACGGTAAACCACTCTCTTCTGCCTTATTTCCTTTCTTCTTCTTCTTGTTGGATGGTTTGAAGATAAACCTTTTGTTGGAGCATCTGTTAGTTACTTTTCATTTTTGTTTCTTCTGGCTGGAAGGGCATTGAGTGTGCTTCTTTCACCTCATATTGTAGTCTATTCTCCAAGGGTACTTCCTGTATATATTTATGATGCTCATGCAGAGTGTGGGAAAACTGTCAGTGCGACATTCCTTGTCCTTTATGGGATTGCATTGGCAACCGAGGGTTGGGGTGTTGTTGCCATTTTGAAAATTTATCCACCATTTGCTGGTGTTGCTATATCAGCAATCACTCTTGCTACTACTTTTGGGTTTGTTGTCTCTCGCCCATGCTTGACTCTTAAGATGATAGAAGATGTTGTTCACTTCCTCAATAAGGAAACCACTGTTCAGGCAATTGCTAGATCTGCCACTAAGGTTTTAGACCCTAGTTCTTGAGACCAAAGTGAAGAGCTTAGTGAGAGCAACATTTTGATCGGTGGAGATCAAAATCCGACAAAATCAAAAATTTGGATTTTTGCTTGTTTCCTCTTGTAGCTTGAGGTAGGGATTTTTCTTACATTTCTCTATACACTTTTACTTGATTATATGAAGTTTAGAGTTGCATATAAATTAATTAGAATTTTTGAAAAATTTGTGATTTATTTGCTTAAGAGGAAAATTTTGAGAAAAATAAAGAGTTGATGCCTAAATTGTGAAAGTGTAAACTTGGAATATGTTTGTAAGGTTATGAAAGAGCTATGTTTTAAATTTGAACAAAAACGGACTTCGATTCGATCGGTTTTGAAATTTTTACCGTTTTGTGACCAAAAGAGCATTTTTAAAGAAAACAAAGGAATTACGTTTAATTTTTGGGGCTTTCGATCAAAATAGGATGTCATAATTGAATAATGCTTGGAGAATGAGTTTGGAAAGAAAATGATGTTTCTTGGGCATTGACGGTATTATTTTGCTTAATGTATCTGTTGAAATAAAACCGATACGGTTAGAAATGAACCTTGAGAAGTTACCGGACGTGATTGTGATATGAAAACTAGTGTAGTTGTCATATTTGATGAGATGCAGAATAGATTGTATTTATCAGAATTTTTGAAATTTAATTATTTAAATATCTGTTTAGAAATATATGTTTTGGGCTATCGGTGGAGAATAACCATGATTGTTGTAGAAATGCATGAGACTTAGGTAAATTGAACCATATTCCTCATTTGTTGCATTGGATGTTGCATTACATTCATTTCATTGGAAATGTATCTGTTTTTGAGAAATGTTTGGAAATATATTTGTTTGCGAAAAGATGAATACTTGGTGGATCTGGGTAGAGAGTGTAGAACTGTGCGGTTAGGTGTCGAGCCTTCCAGTTTACTAGTAAAAATGACAGTGGTAGTGCATTTAGGCCTACTTGCAGACACTCACCTATAGATTTATAAGGCCCGTATTCATGTAACAAATATGGTTTAAAATGGAAATGATTTTATATTTGTTGTCGCATCTCAACATTGCATGCTTTATAAAAAGAGAGATAAACTGGTTTATCATGAGCACGACATGAGCATACTCCTCTTTAGTCTTGTCATTGTTCATATGTTGTGTAGTATATCTCTACTGGGTTGTGGCTCACCCTATATGGGAAATCATTTCAGGTACAAGTGCTATGCCTCTGCCAAGGCATGATTTGGGAGGACTCGAAGCTGAGGTTTCATTTTTGTTTTATTGTTATTTGTTGAATGTAAGCCCAGGCCTGTATTTGTGTTGAGTTAAAACTTCATTTTGTGTAACCAAGAATGTTCTTGGATAAATTTGTAAGCCTGTAGGGCACTTATTATCTGTTTGGTTTCCATTTCATACTTGTTGTAAAATGCATGTTTGGGATTGGAACTGGTGCATTGAGATGTGAACAACATGTATTTGGCATTTGGGATTTAATGGAAATGGGTGTATGGATTAGTTAGCTATATATATGTATTTGTCTATCAGGTGAGTTTTGTTGCATAAATAAATATATCATGCCAAATTTTTAGGGCATTATATGATGTGTTTGCTGTCCTTGGTTTGTGATTTGCCTTCGATTTTGTTTCCCTTTATGGCAGTGACATAATGAAAAGCAAAGTACTACCATTTCCCATTCCTTGAAGCTGTCACTGGCAGCCACTCATTCAACTCTTTCATATTCGCTGCTGCTACTGATGATGATGATCTCTCTTCCTTATTTGATTCACCATTTGCCATTTTTATTTTTCTTGATTTTGTTTTTTTGTTGTCAAAAACCCAAGTTCAGCACAAATCAGAAATGAAATGAGAGATATCTCTTTCTCTCTCTCTCTCTACTCTATTCTTTTCTTTTCTTTTTTTTTTATTTTTTATTTTTTTATTTTTTTTTTCAAATGAAATGTGTGAGTTAAAACCGAGATGAGTTGTACAAATAAATGGGGATGTACAAAGATATGGGGGTGTATATAGAACTCATGCCATTTGAGCCATGTGAGTTTCGAGCTACGAATCGCAACTGTTTGCTGATTGACTCCCTTTTGTCTCAAGCATTTGCTTCAATAAGAAAAAAATAAATAAATAAAAACACTCATTCCCCTGCAAAATAATAGTCCCAAAAAAATCTATGCTAAATTACACTTTTTAGTCTAGATTAAAATAATCAAAAAATTAACTTACTCTCCAAACGAAACTTTAAAGATTCACTTTTATGGCATAACACAACAGGTTGTTATGAGAAGTAGGTTAAAAACTGATTTTTTTGACTTTTTTTCAAAACATATATAAAAAATTAAAAGAAAATGATGTGATCTAAACAAAATTTAAAAATTTACTTTTAATTTGCTCCCAAAACAAGTCAATATTAAAAGAGCAATGATACATCCCCTAATTATGGAGCTCTAATTGAGTTCTAATGATGTGACAAGAAAGAAACAAAACAAAACAAAACAAAACAAACAGCAATGATTCAGAGCACTAATTTTAAACAAAACAAAACAAAACAAAACAAACAGCAATGATTCAGAGCACTAATTTTGGTGCTCTAATGGAGCACTAATGGTATGGCAAAGGGAAAAAAAAAAAAAAACCAAGACCAAAATATCACATCACAGTGGATGGGGCCTACTGCCAGCTCATTAGAGCTGGCTTTAAAGCTCAAGAATTAAAGCTCCAAAACATTTTTCCAAAACAAAACAAAAGTCAAAACATCACATCATAGGGGAACCCACCTATTTAGAACTCTTTTAGAGCTCAACAATTGGAGCTCCAAAACATTTTTGACATAAAATAACTTGTAGGAAGGATTTGACGAGAAAGAACTTTGAATTTCTTAGAGCATCTCCAACAGTTCATCAGAAATTTCAATAAATTTGAGTAAAAAAAATACGAATTCCTTAATCTGATATCAACTACTCCAATGATGATCATTAAAACACACTAGACCTCCGAGGGGACGACCGGCCGGTCGACCAGAAAGAGGAAATTTTTTTCAGAAGCATCACCGTCTCTCGCTCTCTCTTTATCTTCATCCTTGAATGTTCGCTCTGTAGCAAGAGTAGTGGCTCTAAGGAATTCCTTTTGAGCGTTGAGCCTTGCAAGCGATCGCGATCAGCCCAAGCCATCCTCTTGATTCGCAGTAGACTCAGAGTCCATGTCTTGGGATTTCACAAGTGACCCATCTTCAAAAGCTTCCTCAAGAGCTTCCCTGAGCTTGTGCTTTTGCAATTCCCTCAGAAATGATGGGTTTCTCTTGATTTCTTCTATTGAATGGTTAGACCCATCTCTTCTTCTGCTCTTCTTGTCCATGATCAGAGCAGTACAGTGAGAAATTGGCTTCCATAGTGAAAGATGCATTGAAAGACCCATCTCTTCTTCTGCTCTTCTCAATTCTCACTGATCTTTAATCAAATCAAATAGAAACCCTAGATTTGACTACCTTGAAAATCTAGTAACTGAGGATTCAAGCCAGATTAAGACAGCACATTTGGAAGCCTAAAATGTAGGAAGAAAAAAAAAGTAAAAAAAAAAAAGAAAGAAAAAGAAGAGGATAAAATCTACCCACAGATTTTAGGGTTCAATAAGTGAACTAGTGGACCAGTTCAACATTTTGGGAAAGTGACAAAAAAAAAAAAAAAAAAAGGTCTAGTGGACCAGTTCAACATTTTGGGAAAGTGACAAAAAAAAAAGGATTTGGAGAAAAGTAAAAAAAGAAAAAGAAAAGAGAGAGACTCAAAACACAGAGAAATTCAAGACCCAAGATTCAAAAGATTTATGGAATTACAAAACCTCAAACCCATTGAAATTCGAAAGTCAAAACATTACCATCGAATTGGGAAAAAACCGAATATAGAGACGAAATCAAAGCCTCAAACCCTGGAACCCAAAACCCAGATCCCAAAAAGATTGGCAAAGAATACACAGCAGAAAATTGATTCAGCGAAATGTAGCAAAAAAAGAGTTCAGAAAAACAAGAAACCGACTTTAACCCCCTGTTCAGAAAGAGCTCCAAGCTCTCTCTTTCTTTTATCTCTAACTTTTCTGCAACTCAATTAAATGCAAAGCCTCCACATACAATGCCTTAGTTATGTGTGTCCATTAGAGAGAGAGAGAGAGAGAGAGAGAGAGAGAGAAGTCAAAACTTGAAAGTAGACAATGGCTATGTTTTGAGAATTGTTTAGTTAGCCGGACGAAATGTGGGACAACTGGCCGGACTTCCGGTAGGGCCACCTCCAGCGTAAACGCACAGTATTTTGGTGAAATCTAATCTAGATCCTCATTTTGGTAAAAGTTTTGGTTGATTCTCAATTTGATATCATTTTGGTAAAATAGTTGGAGAGATAAAAGTGTTACTTTTTTATCAAATTCAAATCTGGTAATGAATCTAATTCACCGTTGGAAATAGTCTTAACCACTCATCAATGCCTCCCCCTAATTAACTTTTCCACAATCAAAGTAAAGCTGTCACATCACCTGGGCCATACTTGGCTGATTGACTCCTTTTTGTCCCAAGCATTTGCTTCAATAAGGAAAAAGAGAGATAAAAATACGCCCCTCCCATAATAATAATAATAGTCCTTTTTAAGAAATTTAACTGTTTTATTAGTAGTATAATTATTGCAGTTTAAAAATAATAATTTTCTAAAATTATCTTTTGATAGTATATTTTTTGAGAAATATTAATTGTCATAATTGTACTTTTTGTGTTATTAATGAATTTAAGAAAAAAGCAAAATAGGAAATTCATATTATTTTAATTCTTAATTTTTAAAAATAGACTAATATTTTGAAATACTGAAAAATAAAATAAGGAACTAATATTTTTAGACGAATGGAGTAATTAAAAAAAAAATAAATTGGCTAACACATTCATGTGTCCATAGAACCATATCCAAAGACATAAATCCAAATTCACTGCTAGCCAGACTTCTTAATAAGGCATATATGTTGGTGCATTTAAATATATTTAATTGAATAATTTAACAAAATAAATAATGAGTGAAGAGGAGTAGAAGTTGATGAAGCTTTGTCAAAATAATTAGATGATAGGTTTACGCATTGATTAGAAAAGAGAAATGTAATTATTACTTCTTATTATTTATGTTGTGGAAGTTAGGTCTAATTCCAACCTCTAAATGCAAATTGAATTTGGTTACACTCGAAATAGTCACAAATGTGAGATGGTCGTTTTTTTGGGAAGATAAGTTAATGTCTTAAAATTTAGTCCCATTAATATATATATATATATTTGAAATTATCAGAAAATAATTGTTTTTCGGAAACTTTAATTCGAAATTAAAGTAGGACCCAACCGCCGATTGAGGTGGGTCTCAGCGATTTTGTATTCTCTAAAGTAAGAAGATTGCAATACAAAAATAATGAGCCAAAACCATTAGTTGAGTTGTGAATGAAAATTGTCGCATAAAATGTGCATCAATGAAGTTGGGTTTAGATTTTGACTTAATCTTGGTTTGGACTAGGCCTAGACTCATACTTGTGCATGTGTTGGGTTTGGTCTTAGACTTGGACTTGGACCTAGTCTTGAACTTTGGGCTGAGCTGTGTTGGGCTTAGTTTGTGCATGTGTTTGAAATTGGGTTTGGATCGGGTTGTGACCCAACACCCATATCTATTTTGTAACCCATCTTGTTTAATTATTAAAACTTATACATCATATACACATTATGATTTTTATAATGATTTTGGAGTTTTGAACCTTTGTAACTCTAGTCCTAATGGCTAGAGTTGAAGACTTTTGATGACCCCAATGATGATAGTCTTCATGGCTAAGGCTCTTCCCTACTAGTATAAATAGAGGTCTTTCTCCTCCAACTTAGTGGGTTGTTTTTAGAGAGGTTTTGTGATAGAAAATGAGATGGTGTTTTGAAATAAAAAGTTAGAGATATTTTTTACACCAAATTTTTTTTTTCCTATATTCTTTTGTTAGTCTCTTCTTTGATTCTTGTTAGAGAGAGTGTAGGCATTGTCAAATTCGCCGAAACTATTCACAAGGTGCTTTTGCATTAGCTGGTCTAAACCGTCGTATCCTAGGAGACAAAAGTCGAGATACCTCCAACACTAGTGGTGAGGCGGCTAATCTGTTTTAAAGACACTATGATATCACACAGGCTTCAGTTTGTGCTTTCTTTACCATTTTATTGTATTGTGTATTTCTGTGCAATATTATTGTAAATTTCCAGTATACTTTCTCAGTTTGAAATTTAATTTGATTAATCATGAATCTATTTATTTTAGTTAATTATATTAATTTGTACAACAATTTTAAAATAGATTATATGTGTTTATCATGAAATTAGATAATTAGATTCATATGTGTTGTGTAAGAATTTATGCT